CGGCGCAGCTGCTATAAACACAGACTTTGACTAGAAGAGGCCAGTGGCCGTGTTGGAGCCTTAATGTGCTGCAGATGTGCAGGTAATGCGCTGCATTTACAGGCAGGTGCAGTGTAAATAAGGGGTTATCCCGGCCACATATGAAGTGTTTCTTGGAGGTTACAGTACATGAAAAATGACAATTTGATATTTTCGAATTGCCTGAAAAACCACCTCATGCGAGCATAAAAACCTTTTTTGTGACATATGGGAGTTTTTGCGAAATTTTCTTGTTTCCTGGCTATATTTTCAAATCGCAATTTCAATTTTAGCAATTTGAAGGGTAATGGAAATGTCACTATTTACTCACCTGCATGTCCTTTCAAACCTGGATGTCTTCTTCCTCTCCTTGTTAAAAAAAAAATATATATTTCTTTTTATTTAGAATAATGCGGGTAAACAAACTGTTGACTTCCATTATATGAACGGAGTTATTTCTCAAATTATCTTCTTTTATGTGCCACAGTTTATGTTAGGCCGTTGTAGCCTAAAAGTTTATAAATTCTGTTCAAAATAAAATATTTCTTTGTAAAGCTAATTTTTGTAATGTCTATTTAATGCTTTCCTTAATGAATACAATAATGGCTTCGGGGCAGTCGTGGCCTAATGGTTAGAGAGTCGGACTTGTAACCCGAAGGTCGCGGGTTGAAACTCGAACACCATTGGCTATTGCAGGCAAACTAGTGCAATTCAATCAGGCTTCAGCATTTCGGAGAAAGTGAGTTCTCCAAAGCGTGAAAACTATCACACAATGTTGAGAGGCTGTCTCGAGAGGGAGCCCCATTTTAAAACCCCATAGGAAATTCTTAAAGGGGTCCTATTATGCTTTTTCACTTTTTTAATTTTAGTCAGTGTGTAGTGTGTATTTTTAGGCATAAAAAAGATCTAGAAAGTTACAAATCTCAAAGTCCACTCCAAAGGGAGATATTTAGTTTTTAAAAAATCCCTTTTCAAGAACTACAACGAACGGCTCGTTTGGACTACAGTGTTTGGTTTCCGGGCTTTGTGATGTCACAAAGCGGCTCATTAGAATATCATTACAAATAATTCCCGCCTACAGAAATTGGAATGGTTGGGGGGTGGGGAGGGGCGAGGTCGTGGTTAGAGCGCTTGGTTGAGTGACTGCATCAGACGAGACGATGAAGAAGAAGTGCTGCTGCAGAGTTAGTGCGTCAGAGCACGACGAGAGATACTGCCAAAATATCGCATGTCAGTATTTAGGAACATACTACAACATTTGGAACATGAAAAAGCCTTTTTTGGTGAATTACAGTAGTTTTTTTTATTTTTCTAAACATTAATTTTAATTAATTATTATACTTCGTTTTGTACTGTGAGGTAAATTTGCAGACGGTCCCTAAAGCAGCCTAGTCGAATATGAAATGTGAAACTAACCGACAGAACAAGACGGTGGTAAAGAGGACAGAATAAGCTGACAGTTAGGTTGACAGTAAAGACGACAGTACGGATGACAAAACAAGACTACAGTAAGGAAGACAGAACAGGACGACAGTTAGGACGACAGAACAAGAAGGCGAGTAGGGATGACAGAACAGGACGACAGAACAAGACGACAGTTAGGACGACAGGATAAGACGACAGTTAGGACGACAGGACAGGACGACAGTTAGGACGACAGAACAGGACGACAGAACAGGACGACAGAACAAGACGACAGTTAGGACGACAGAACAAGACGACAGAACAGGACGACAGAACAAGACGACAATAAGGATGACAGTAATTAAATGACAGAGAAAAAGCACGCAGGACGACAGATTAAGACGACGTCAACAGACAACTTACACGCCTACATATACTGATTTACCTGAACAAGTAGGCAATGACTGTAGACAAAGACAAATGTATAGTACAAAACACAAAGCAGTCATTTTTGACATAAATGGAACCTCATAAGTGAGTAGGGAGCAATGGACACTGTGTAGGGAGCATGTTAATCTGAACACAGTTCATGCACGGAGCTCACTTCTAACGAGATGCTCTGAATCAGGTGTGTTAACAGAGAGACGTGCAAAACATGCAGAGCGGGGGTACGCGAGGACTGGGATTGAGAACCGCTGGTCTAGAACAATTCTTACAAATATAACACGACGTAGCTGGGCACTGCCGGTGTGTCTACACTCATAGAAAATAATGTATTTGAATTTTAAAGATGTGGCGCTTCTCGTCTGGTGCGCGACCGCCTGAAACGCTGTTTTTTTTCACCTCCATGCCCACACATCTTTGTTTGGGCTTCCGAAAGCGGATGATGTCAGGAAACAGTGGTTGCAATTTACTTTTTAACTCTGTTTCTGAGCATTATAACCCCAATTTGCTATTGTGTGCGAGCCACCAAGCATGAGAGCGTGTTCTAGTACACCCCCAAAACTAAATCAAGACTTTGTAAAAGAGCATAATAGGACCCCTTTAAAGGAACCATCAGTCAATTAGTCTTCTGGATACGTGCACCATTCTATTATGATGGTGGAGTAAAAATAGACTAGGTGACACTTCTTGTAGAACTGTTGTATAAAACCCACCATAATGCAATCTCCTGTTGGTTTGAATATCACTCACTGTATGATTGGTTACAGCTGTAACATTTTACCAAACTAACCAAGAACTTCATGAGATCAGTTCAGATCATTTCAGTGTTTCATTAATAGGAATCTATTCCAATGACATTTACTAAATTATAAAAGCTCACCTAACCATGTCAACTTGACAATTATTTGTTATTTCATTGTTAATCATATTTGCATGTATAGAATATTTCAGCTAAAAATGTAAAATAATGCATTCAAAGTAAATGTGGAAAGAAAGTGGTTGCAGAGTAGAAATATATTAGATCGTCTATCATTGGGAAGAGAAAAATGACACCTTGTGGAACGTATTACACTTTGTGCATTTATTTAAAAAAAATCTGGAAAAAAGCTAAACAAAGATACAGTTTTAAGATACATACAGCACACACTCATACACACACTTGTTTTTGGAATCAGTATTATTAATCATTTCTTTGTGTGGCATATTTAGTACAGTAAAAAAAGGAAAACAGTATACTGAGGTCCAGTCAGTAAAGTCAGAGTCTTCACTGCATGTCCTGTTTTACACAGTATTGGTCAAGTTACAGAGGAATTTAGGAATATGTTACATTTTTAAAGGAAATAAATGCAATTCATTAAAGAACTGGTACTATGTACACTTTTATACAATTTAAGTCTAGGCTCAGAGTGCTTTAAGTCTCATGTCCTAAATACTCTGAAGATGTATTCCTATCAAACTGACCCCATCACATTATCTTAAAGATTTGTCTTTCTTCGCAAAAGTCCAGCTTTAGCTTACTAAAAACTAGAAAGTACTACAAACTGAAGTATCTGCCCTTCATTTCAGTGATCATGTTTTAAAGGACTAAAATCAAAAGACACAAGCCAAAAATAATGCTAATGTTAAAACTTGTGACTGTAAACTATAATTACTGGGAGGCTGTCAATATTAATACAACACAAACGGTGCTTTATCAGGGCATGTCAACCTTTGGTAAACCTGAAATGCTTTCGGACAAAAGAAAATCAATAACAGAAACACAGAGCTGATAGTCCAGTCTCAACAGTACTAATATCCTAAACATCATAAAAAAAAGGAAAACTGTAATTGGGAATAATCAGACATATTTGATCAGAAACATTAAAGGGATAGTTCACCCAAAAATGAAAATTACCGCAATTTACTCACCCTCAAGCCATCCTAGGTGTATATGACTTACTTCTTTCAGACGAATACAATCAGAGTTATATTTAAAAACGTCCTGGCTCTTCCAAGCTTTATAATGGCAGTGAATGGCTGTGATTTTTCAGCAGTCTAAAAGAAGTCCAATAAAGCGCATCCATCCATAATAAAAACTGCCTCACACGGCTCACGGGTTGTTGTGTACACTACGTAACACAGCGTAAATGATCCGCAACAGGGGTCACACACTACACGAGCAGACAACATCTCTGTCACCCAACATCTTTCTGGTCCCCAAACCAGGTTTTGTCACGAAAACACATGCGAGAAGTGGAACGGGAATGACGTGAAACAACACGTGAAGCAGGAGCTATTTGAAAATGGAGGTTGAGAAGAAATTAGCGCTGAAATTAGTGATGATCTGTTCTGAAAAATGTTGCTTCATTTCTTGTGTCCAAACTTGTTCCATGTTGCTGCTGCTGTTCCTTCCGCTGACCTCAACACATGCCTTGCTCTCTCACTGGCTGAAGCTTGTCGCTGACCGGTCCAGATATTTAGCTTGCTAGATATTTGTTTGGTGTCGGCGAGCCTCTTTGATTAATCGTTGAGTAGTTCACACATAAAGATTGCTGAGCGCTGATCACCCGACGATTTTCCCCCATCACAGCCTGACCTGACGGTGAGCTCGTTAACTTGAAAATCAGGCTTAAATCCTGTAGTGTGAACTTGGCTGAACTGTCAAACGCACGTTCACAACAGAATGCTGTTCCAGTGGATGATGTAGGACGTCGGCGTAGCGTAATCTCCGGTGAGAATATGCTAGTCTCGCGAGAACCAACGTTTGTTTACAGGAGCAAAGGAAGCAAAGTTTCCTTACTTTAGCAGGAAAACCAGTCTCCTCTTGGCTTGTATCGAACTCCTCCGACAATCTTCTTTACAAATCCTTGTTTTATACTTCTAATTCGTGAGCACTGTTTTGTTTTGCTCTCTCCTCTGTGCTTCTCTGCATTTGTCACTTCTCAGCAGCGCATGCACTACACCGACGTCCTCCATCATCCACCGGAACAATGTTTTATTGTGAACGCGCATATGACAGTTAGCGGAAACTAGAGATTACTGTGTATAAAGTTTTAAATATGGATATTTTTCTTACACAAGCGCATGGATTCGCTACAGGAGGCCTTTATTCAAAAGGTCATATACACGAAAGTCATATACACCTAAGATGCCTTGAGGGTGAGTGAATCATGGGCTAATTTAAATTTTTGGGTGAACTATCCCTTTAAGGATTGTCCTGTATTTGTGTGCAATGTTGCTCTTAATTAATGGAATGATTTGTTTGTGAAGATTACGAATGTTTGCACCTCCACCAAAACACTCCACATTACTCTGGGTCAGACTTGACAAGAACTATTGAATCCTGTAAGCCAGAAGTAATTAAGAACTTTAATAAGGATGAATGTCAACACAGACAGCTATGGAAGTGTTAACAGAGTGCTGTGGAAGTGCAGAGGTTTGCGGTGCGTCAGTGAAGTCTCGGGTTTATTTGCTGTCTGTGTCCTCGAGGGGCGAGGGGCTGCTGTCTCTCGTGGGAAGCAGGTCGTAATGACACGGGATGTGGCTGTTCTTTGGTAGGTCGTATGGATCTTGACAAAATGGCCCGTTGCAGTTGTTGTTAGAGAGTGTGTGGACAGAACTGATGGTCGGCTCTGGATGGGGAAAAACACAGGTTCAAACCGTTACATGGCTTACATACTGTTATCTCACTAATTATTTATAAATACCAAAAACAGCAGTTTCTGTTCTGCAGGAAAGTCGAGTCCCATCGTGGAAACGACAAGCAGCTTCAAGCATAGCGAAGCCAAAAATCAGGAATGAAGACTGTTAAAAACTAAAATGTTTTCAAAAGATTATGGATGAGAAAGTAATTATGTAATAGTGATACCTTTAATATCATTTTATATCAGAGGTTCTCAACCATATGAAAGAGTACTAGAATATTGTATGCTGATTACAGGAGTTTTCCTGTTGCTTTGCTGCATGGGATGAATATGCAGAAGTGTCTCTGACTGGCCTTAGACCGCTGGAGCATTTGCTAGCACATTTTTGCTCTTAGTTGCATCAAGACAAAATACTGATGCAAGCGTCAAACAACAGTGCAAATGCAATACACACTTTCAACAATGAAAGACCCAGGCCAGGCCAATAATGGCTCCAAGTCATTTGCTCATGTTACAGAATCAAAACAGGAAAAATGACTAAATAGAGGAATGTATTGTTATTCTTCAGAATGTAGTTTTCCAGTAGTGTAGCATTAAGATCCTGAAGTGTACAGCTTCACTGTGTGCTGTGAGTCAAAGGAACGTTAGGATCTAAAGTAAGCAATAGTGCACTCTGGTTGAAGCTGAGGGAAGGGCTGCGTGTCTTTAGCTGTGTCTGGAGCACTCGGTGGAAGATGAACGCTCAGAGAGAGACTGTAGTGTGTAGTTGACTGATGGAGGGCTCAGTGCTGGTTTTTTGAGCACCTGCTTAAACATGATGGGAATGTTTCCTGTAGTAAGAGATCTTTCAGATGGAAAGTGTCATTATAAACAGGCTTTCTCTGGGTAGTCTGTCCTCATCTGCAGTGCCGGTACAAACAGACCGCGAGGGCTGATGGAAAAGACAGGCGTGACGGCCCGATTATAATGTATGTGTGGCGACATGATGTGAACACAACAGCTGCCCTCGCACGACTCACGATTACTCATTTTCTGCTAGCCGAGGAACTGATGTGATGCCTTCAGGTTTGTAAGGATACATCACATCTGTGCAGCATTACTGGAGACTTCAGGCTGTTCATACGGAGTGGATATATAGTCCCATCAAGGGTAAAACTGTTCATATGAAGTACAAATAAAAACGGCTGACTATGACTTTTAAATATTGGAATGTAGTTTAGAAAATAATAGTCAGTGAGTCCATTTCTAATACAGTTCTATCATGACAATTCTTGGAAGATTTTAGCATGGTAAAGGATATGAAAATGTTAATGTGTTTGGTCTTGGCAGAATAGATCTGCTACGCTGCTGCTGCTGGTTATTGCTGTAGTTGTAGATTATTGCTGTTGCTGCAAGCAAGTACAGGAACTTGCTACTGCCAATGCATACGGCGATATGGTGCCGTGAGTATTTAAGACATACTGCTGCTGCACAAATAGCATATAAAATAACCTGCAGGTCTACACAGGTGGAGCTGGGGAAGGCAGAGGGTTTCAGAGGAACACTAGTGAATGCTAACCAGCCAATTAATGTATGCAACATGAACAAATTATCTTGTGCCAAGTAGTGTAATGCTGTTAATATCATCAATTTGCATAAACGACCCACCAGTCTGAGTCATCTAGAGTTTCATGATAGAACTTGGCATTTATTACGTCAGCTTTGAATAATGAAAGTGCACGGCTCACTGCTGTGGCTGGATCTGTTATTCTCTTACCAACTTCATAGACGTTTTTGTTGGCAGGGCTGGAGGCGTGTATCTCAGCGTATGGCGCGTCTCTGTGAGCGGGAGACTTCATCTCCACATAGCCGCACTCCGAGCTCTTGGTCAGCAGCAGAGGAGGGTCTTTGATGGTGGCGTATGGGTTCTCTGAGCTGTTTAGAGAGCTGGAGCTGGCGTGATAGGGCATGCTCTTCACCAGATCTACAGACAGAGAGAAGGGGTCAAATCATCACACTGTGTGAAGGCATTTACTCCCCCTTAAACCTAGGGCTGGGAAAATAAATCGATGCATGGCGAATCAAGAAATGAGCCCGCATCAATTCTGAGATTTTCCGAATGCATCGTGATTCTTTCTCGAGTCGATTCTGAGCTTAGTTTTGAACAGCAGATGGCGCTGCATACTTTAGAAACAGCAGTACTCTGCTCGTTTCCAAATCCTTACACACACTTGAACCTAAAATAATCATTCATAAAATTTTAAAAGGTTAAAGCGAATTACAAAGGTGCTCACAGTGGGCTGCGTTTACATTAATCTCGTGTAATAAAAGCATTCTGGGCCGAGGTGAAATTACAGACTACAAGCACAAGCGCTCTTCTTCATGAGCATTTGAGTGTGCAGATAAAAACTAGAGTAGAGTGCCATCTGCCGTTAAAATCTAACCTCAGAATTGATTCCAGAGAGAATCGCAATGCATTCAGAAGATCTCAGAATCGAACCAAAAATCGATTCTGCATTGATTTATCGTCGCAGCCCTACTCAAACCTGTATGCCTTCTTCACAAAGCAAGAACACGCAAGGGTGCAAACAACACTGCACCCCACTGACATTTTTTAAATATTGTCTTTTGTGTCCACAGAAGAAATGCATACATGTTTCAGGAGTAAATGAGAATTTTCTCTTTGCTTGCTAAATGATCATTTACCTCGCAGTGACTTTCCCATGTAACGCCCGTCAACTCCATAAGCTCCTAATAAGAGAATCAAGACAGAAGAAGTTAAACTAATGCAGTCCTTTTGTTGACACAGCTTACAGCTGCAAATGCTACGAATGCTGCATGTGAAATGACGAGTGTTTGCACAGAGGCGGTCAGGAAACGAGTCACCGCACAGTTAGTCATCTGTACGTTTTTGTTAACGCTGGGCTACTGAGCATTATCGTGTCAAATGTTTGGCTGCTGTGTTTGTTGTGATCATGGTGGTTGGATGGCACACCGAGCTCATTGAAGGATCCTCCTTGTTTCCAGTCGGCCGGTAGAGTTCCTGTGTGATCCAGCAGGGAAAGACATTTCCTCGGATCAGCGTTCTTCAGGTTCACAAACAACTGGTTGTTCTTCGGCTGTCAAGCAGAAGAAAATCAACAATTATAGCAAGTGTCTTTCTACAGCGTTCCACATTATTCCTCAGTTCTGGTCAGCTTCTGCTCCTGAAACCATGGGTTAGAATGGCGGTTTTGGATTCTTGATTAAATAAAGCCTGTGGTCAACATTCCATTTTCGTGTCCATTTTGTACAAAATGACACCTTATTTTACTCCAAAATATATCAAAAAATGGTTCAAACAACACATAGGCAAGGCAATCAGTGAAAAAGCTGTATTCAGCAGCAGTATCTTGTAAACAGCCCAGAATATTAGTCCTTTATTCCCAGAGCTGTCTGTTAGTAGAGTAGCACCTCTCCATAGGGCAGGTTGTTGGCGTCAGGAGGGCTGCTGCACTGGGTCAGTGTGTGGTAGCTGGGGTTGGAGAAATAGTTACTGTTGGGAAGGACGTCAGTCTGCGGGAGCGACTCTACAAACAGGAAACACATCACACACACACGTCTCCTCATGGGAATTTCACAGGAAATCGCAAGAATGAAAAGAAATGTCATCGTGATGCTGACCTGCGATGGCGTAATCGGTGTTGGCCCTCATGGTAGGTGTGTACGTGACCGCAGGCAACGTGGATTCTTTGCCTTTCTGTTTCTTGCGGTAAATGATGAAGAGGAGGAGGAGGATGAGCACGAGGAGCACCAGAACGATGATTCCTGCGATCGCACTGATCTGATACGAGTCCACAGGCACAGCGGCGCTCGTCAAGCTGTTGAGATTCCCTACGATGATCACGCCGGCTGAGAAAGACAGCAAACTTCAGTCACACAGTCAAAGAGCAACACGAGAGTATCCCACTGAGCGAAGCCTCACTGTGCGTCCATGTGACGGAACCAGAGGGTCAGTGTAGCCTTGAAGCATCTACACTGGACATACAGTGCCTTGCAAAAGTATAAATTTTTTTCCCCGTTTTGTTAAGTTGCAGCCTTATGTTAAACTGCTCTAAATTACTTTTTTTCCACATCTATTTACACTCCATACACCATAATGACAAAGCACAAAACAAACTTGTGACAACTTGGCCAGCCAATCACCTGACTTGAGTCCAATAGAAAATAAGAACTAAAGGTCAGCGTTCATAGAAGAGGCCCACAGAACCTTCAAGACTCAATTACCAACAAAGGCATTTGTACGAAGTATTAAATACATTTCAGTAGTTAGTAATACTTTTCCCCTGTGTCATTCCATTTTATTACACAACTTAATTTCTGAACTTATTTGTTTTGTTTTCTTTGTATGTATGGATTACTTGGGTTGTTACCGACATCTGGTGAAAATTTCATGTCAACAGCAACTTCAGAAATATATTTACTGGGAAAAATGGTGACGTGTTTATACTTATTTTACCCGCTGTATTTAATAACTGCAAATGCTGATGTAAGCTTACCCTGGTCACAGCGTATGCCTTTCCAGCCGGGGTTACAGTAGCAGGTGCCAGTCATGTGATCACAGGTGGCGTTATTGAGACATTCGCACACCTGCCGACAGCCGTATCCGTACGTACCTGCAGGACATTCTGGAAGCCAGTGGAAAACCGTGGATCAGACGCAGACAGTGACAGATCGAGCGTGTGCTTGAAAATATCAAAGGACCAGCTCTGCTTTCATACTCACTCTGTTCACAGTGGCGTCCCATGAAGCCAGTGCGGCAGGTGCACTGACCGGAGATGTGATTGCAGTCTGCGCCGTTCTCACACTGACACGCCTGAGCGCAGTCCTTGCCGTAGAAGCCCAGCGGACAGCCTGCAGGACACAGCAGCACCATGGGGTCAGTCGTGAGCGCACAAGCTGGAGGTCAGAGGTGATGAGTTGTACTCACGCTGTGTGCAGTATAGCCCCGTCCAGCCGGCTGTACACTTACACTCGCCGTCATACGCGCTGCAGAATGCCCCGTTGTGACAGTTACAGGTGTGGATGCAGTTGGGACCCCACTGACCCGGGGGACACGCTATGGGTGAACACACATACATGTCACATTTGGCCAAAAATGATGGGAAAACATCAATCGTGTAGAAAAGTACTTTACATTTAAAATAACAATTTTCAGCACCAGTCTTCAGTCACATGACCCTTCAGAAATCATTCTAATATGCTGACTTGCTGCTCAAGAAACATTATTAAAAAGTTTTTATACTGAAAACAGTTTTTGCTGTTTAATAGTTTTGTGAAAGCTGTTCTACCATTCAAAACTTGAGTGTTAAATTCAATACTTAATTCATTTAATCCCACATTTTTCTCAGACATGAAAACATCAAATTATGTGTCGTTAGTAACCCCTTGAAATAATCAATAATAATTTTTTGACATTTTTATGGAAAAGTGCGTGTTTTATGGTTGGTCACGATTGTGAGCAGTGGGATAATGTGTATACTGAAATTAAATTATTTCTGTTGTCATCAAAATTCTTATATATCTCAGTCCAGTTATTAACCCATTGTAAACTATTTCATCACATTCTATGGTTACTATACAAACTGTAAAAAAAAAAAAAAACTTATACAACACTGAATAGGTATACTAAGATAAAAAACTAAAATAGTTATCCACCGGTCACTATTGTTGCCATCAACATGTTTACTCATATGTCCACACTCAACAAAACTGAATAATTGTGAATTCATATAATAATACTAGAAACCTTAAAGATAATGTGTACTAAAATCTTTGTCATGTCTTTATGTTAACATACATACTTTACAAGCCTTTTGATTTGGAGCTTTGATGCAGCCATCATCATCTCATGGTGCAAACGGGAAGCAAACTGCTCTGGTCAGGTTACAAGTTGCACTAAACATGTAGCACTGCACATATTTAATTGAGACCCTTTATTTTTTCCATATTTTCAGAAAATGCACTAAAACACAAGTCAGTAATATTTTTAGAGCTTTATAAATAAAAACCTTTACGGTCACTATTGTGACTGGTGGGATTAAATACTTTTATTTACACAAGGACGCATTCAATTAATCAAAAGTTACAATAAAGACATTATTGACGTAACAAAATATTTCCATTTCAAATTCATGGTGTTCGTATTTGATAACTTTCTATTCATCAATGAATCTTGGGGGGGAAAATGTATAATGGTTTCCACAAAAACATGAACCTGCAAAAACAGTTTTACTGCATTTTTTCACTAAATAAAATGCAGCCTTGGTGAGCAGAAGTAGCTTCTTTCAAAAACAAAAAAAATCATAATTGTTGCAAACTTTTGACAGGTAGTGTGCATAAAACATCAGCAGATCATGTTTCATTATTGTTACTCTTTATGATCAGCAGGGGGCGCTAGAGACCAGACACTCAATGAGATCAAAGCACAAAGAGGGCATGATTAAAGCTAAGTCATGGGTAAAAACAAACTCTGTTCCTAATGCTCCTGAGTGATAAACTTTCACTGAGCATCGTCTTTATATGGACCATCCACTTACAGGAGAAGAGCTACATCAGCTGAGCCAATTAAAGGAACTGCATGGGATTGTTTGTCCAGATGTGGGAAGTAATATTTTCTATAATTTACAACAACCCAGCAGTTACATGCTATATATTATTCAGGAGGATAACGCTCCACTATTTTTTTACAAAAAAAATCTCAAACAATGTATTTGATAAGTGCTATGTCATTAGACACATCAGTAAACATCTGTAATGGTCAAACTACAAAATAATATCACATCACATCATACAATGCTAAACCCAAAATCTGCTATAAATTACAGATTGTGAGGATTTCCAGTCAGGATTTAGACCATATCATAGTACTGAGACTGCTCTCATCAGAGTTACAAATCATCCGAACATGGTTATATCTATTAGCGCTACTGGATCTTCGCGCTGCATTCGACACTATCGACCACAACATTCTTTTGAATAGACTAGAACATTATGTTGGCATTAGTGGATTTACATTGGCATGGTTCAATCATACTTATCTGACCGTCATCAATTACGTAGCAGTGAATGAAGAGGTATCATATCGATCACATGTGCAGTATGGAGTACCTCAAGGCTCAGTACTAGGGCCGTTACTTTTCATGCTCTAAATGTTAACCTTGGGAGATATCATCAGAAAACATGGTGTCAGCTTTCACTGTTATGCTGATGATACTATATACTCTATATTTCTTCGAAGCCAAACTGAATGCGTAGTTGATATAAAAAACTGGATGACTAGTACTTTGACTGAAAAATGGACCATTTGCTATTGTCCTCTTTTTAGAACTACTCAACAGCAGAATAACATTTTGTTTGCATTACAGTGTTAAGCAGGAAAATAGTGTCAGTAAAGCTGATTTGACAATCTGTATTGTATAAAGTGCTATATAAATAAAGGTGGCTTGACTTTAAGTTGTTTGAAGAGGAAAAAAGCTTTGAAAAGATCTTAAGACATGCCAGACATCAGACTGCCCTACTAAACCCTCCTGACCCAGAGATTCAAACCTGACAGCTGCAGAACTGTGTGTAATATGAGAGAAAGTGTGTAGACAGCCACAATCTCTTCAGACACAAAGAGAAAGGCCAACATTAAGGCTTACGATACACTGGGCAACTTTGAGCAATTTTGCTTGGGCACTTTCCCCATTGAGAATGGGTAACAAATTTCTATGTCGATCATTTAGATCGGTCGTGGGCTCTGTGTCTCACCTGGTTGCCCGTTGACAGCAACCTTTCTCAAAAAGTTGCCCCGTGTATCATCAGCCCAAGTCACCTGATGATCAGAAACCTAAAGAAGTTGTTTTGTCATCCGATGAGATGAGCTGAAGTTGGGATGGAAACAAAATGCTGTCAATCAAACAGCCGAGCACTAAAACACAACAGCATCACTGTTCTAAGCGGCCTTATGTCTCACTTGGGACAAAGAGGATTAAGTAAGTAAGTAATCTCTGTTCTGAACCCTGAAGAACCTCCTTTATGATGTTTTTTTTATAAGATTCACCCAAAACACAGCGAACCACTATAAAGGAGTGATTCTGTATTTTACAAAGAGCCTGACATGAATCGGTGTGTAAGGCAGAATCTGACAGAGCAAGAGCTTTAGTGTGATTGCACAGAATACTGACGCTGTGAGCAGTCACTGCCGATCCAGCCGGGGTAACACTGACACGAGCCGTCGATGGGGTTACATGTGCCGTTATTAGTGCAGGTGCAGCTCCACGCGCAGTTCTTACCGAACCTGCCACTGGGACACACTGCAGACAGACAGACAGACAGACGTCAACACTACCGTCCGCTGACACAACCACAGCACAGATACTGGACAATGGAAATGGAAAACATTACAGAAAGAACTGAAAGAATAAATGGCATGGAGAAGACGCACTCCCCATGTAAGCCAGACTATCTGACAGCTGTACTGTAGAAGTGAGTGAGAGCGGCGTGTCTTGCCTTCGTTGCAGAGCGCCCCTTTGAACCCGGCCAGACAGTCACACTGGCCAGTCACGTGGTGACAGGGGCCATTGCTGTGGACGCAGTGCGGACAGGCCTGGCTACAGCGGTGGCCAAAGAAACCCGGAGAACAGACTGGGAGCACGTGGGGAAAACATGAGGAGAACAGAGCGGATGAGAAAACAGACATGGCACGGGCACAGAGGGACAGATAGGCATGTGGTGTGTTTGAGCACTCACTGCGCTGGCAGGTGGCTCCTCTGAATCCAGGCGCACACTCGCACTCACCCTCGTCCGGCGAACACGACGCTCCATTTTTACAGTTACAGGACAGAGAGCAGTTGGGCCCCCAGCGGCCCTCAGCGCACACACTGTCACAGTGAATGCCTGTGAGAAACACACACAAACACAACATCACTTTAGAGTCACAGAAAGAAACATCTCTCAATCTCTCAAACTGGGTCACACTGAGCACATGGGGAATGAAAACACAAAACGTCCATGGGTTTGACATATAATGCATTAAAACACATGACAAACCTTCATTATAATGCATTTACAATTATTTATGAAGAGATATAATGCATTACAATGTACATTATTAATCTTTTTTTATAATGCATCAAACAAAAAGGCTTTAAGTAAAATGTTACCAACTTCACTTCTCTTACAGAATTCAATGTTTTGTATTGAGAACTATTATAAGTTCATGAGTTCAACTGCCCATCCATTCTTCATAAATGATAGTTGGTGAATTGCTGTGCTGACCTGAGCGAACCCCCAGACTACGAGAGTGACTAGAATGAGGTAGCTTGGAATGGGATGAGATGGGATGATGGAAAGCCATCGCTGGTGCAGATCAGTGACTCATGATGATGACGTACAGTTTTGTTAAGCTTTTTAAAGCTCTCAATTAACTGATTTATAAAACGATTCTCCGTTTTGAAGCACTGTAAATGCAACAAAACTCAGACTAACACGTATAACGACACAGTTTACAAACTAATTAACAGTTTTCAAGAAAGTGTAATCTATTACAAGTAATCTGCAAATAATTAAATTAAATACCATTAAATATGAAGTTTCAGTAAAATTAGTGTTTTATTAATTTGTAGTCCTTGTTTTGAGTCATTAGGCACTGCTTGGCAAACTAGGTCAGTTAGAAGCAATTAAGTATCATTTTCCCTTGTGTATTATATGTGCATAAGTATTGAAATTCATTAACTTATTTAAATATGGACCTGCATTATAAAACTGACCTGAGATCAGTTAAAATCCACTAAACACTCATTCATGGGATCGCCAGATTAACGCCATCGAGCGGCTAGCACACTGGATTTTAAAATTTTGCCTCATTTGCGAAAATCCCATGCATGCATACAATCTTTGAACCACTAATTCAAACTAAATATTCATAAATATTACAAAGCTTTATGTAGCAATGTTTCAAAAGGGCTCATCACTACTGACGGGACTAAATAATTAGGCTTCTCCAGAACCTATGTTTTGAACTTCATTTCATATCCCTTCACCTCCTAATGGTGTGCACACACACATACTGGCTCAGTGAATGAACAATTAAAGCCAATCAAAAGTCCATGCTGCTGTAAAGAGCTTGATCACTGCAAGTGGCAGAAGACATAAGCGCAGAGCGTGCTTATAATAAACAGAAGGATATCATGTGCTGGTGTGCTAATATAGTTATTGTTATGGTTATCATTGTTGGTGTGAACTGGTCATAACCCAGTGACCGTCAGGACAAATGATTACAAGCGAGTCTGGAGCTCAGTCCGAGCGCAGCGCTGAAGTGGCTCTGTGCTGCCAGAACACAGACAAAAGCTCTTTTGAGAGCGAGTGTGTGTTGCTAGGAGCTGGAGATCACTCTAGTGCAGCGGCCCTGAGGAAACACCGCCGAGAGCATCAGTATGCTGCCGGAGTCCAGCGCAAACCCCAGGAATGTGTGGGAGAGAACACCACCAGTGTTGCCAACTGCTTTCAATTGAAAGTAGCTAAAACTGGTAGCTAAATATCACTAGATGACATCACAATGGCAAATTCACTGATCTATATAAAGATGAACGTAGATCGGTGGGCAAGATGAAAACTTAGATAAGGTTTGTCCAAGAAGTTGCTATATTTGTCCCTAAACTTTTGAAAAAAAGTCTCAAAAGGGGCGGGGAAGTCGCTAAATCTAGCTACAAAGTAGCTAAATTGGCAACACTGAACACCACACGCTGTACAAACATCATAACACATCTACACAAACGCTGACATGACCTGCTGCTGATACACTTAGGGATACTTCATCACAAAATAAAAATTTGCTCCCAACCCGTATGAGTTTAAAAGAATGTTGTTAACCAAACAATTGCTTTTCCGCATTGACTTTTAAAGTATGGGAAAAAAACTACTATGGAAGTCAATGGTGTCACGGTTATGTTCTGTTTTGGTTTCGTTTTCCATGTGTTTCTGATTCAGTTCCTCATTAGTTTCCATGGTTTTGGATTAATTACTCTACACCTGTTTCAGTTCTCTCTGATTACTTTTCTAGTATTTAAGTCCTGTGTTCGCCCCTGTTCTGTTGTCTGCAATTATTTGTGCTTATGTGGTCGTGGATTTTCCTGTGGATTATAATTAAATATGGCTCCTTTGTCGTGTGCTTACTTCTACACCCACTGCGTGACAAATGGGGACCAGCAATCGTTTGGTTACCAACATTCTTCAAAATATCTTATTTTTTAAGAAACCTACTGGTTTGGATCAACTTGAGGGAGAGTAAATGATTCATTTTCAACTGTACCTTTAGCAGGATATTGCTGTTAATCATATCAATAAATAAATATTTTTTAAATAGTCATTAAAGTTGTTAAATCTTATGCAGGACAAGCTGTTTTGGGTGGATGGACAGCAAGGCTGTAACCACATACATATTTAGGATTCAGAGTTTATGAAAACCTTAAAGCCCACTACTCTGAGAACTGGCTTTTTGCTGATCCAATCCTGCTGTTTTGGGCCAGCGGAGGGAAACCACTTCTGAGAAGCGTGAGGCTCAGCTGCTTTACCTGTCCATCCGGCTAGACAGCGGCAGTGTCCAGTGGAGGGGTGACATCCGTCTGCATGACTGCAGTCACAACGCTCGCGACAGTCCAGTCCATACGTCCCATCCTGCAGCAGCCCACAACAGCACACTTCACTCAACACAAACTCTGGCTTTACTCTACCAGTGAACTCAATATCACAACACACTTGAGGTCTTTGGCATGGCAGAGCTAAAGATAAGGATTGCAGGTTACTGTTGTGATGCCTTGCGAGTCAAAGTCAAAAATAATTATAAATGAGCAAATCAATTTTCTATATATATTTTCATTTAATAATGTATAGCTATAACACATAAAATACCACGGCTGACCGAGAGACGGCAAATCTGACATCTTTCTCAATCAATATCCCAATATATTTTCTCTGTTGTTGTAGAAACATTACTGTTTTTTCTTTAGCTATTAGAGAAAACAGGAACACAAAATTAAATTTGTTATCATTTCTCCACTGTATAGGTTTACCTAACCATAATGACTTCATTTCTGAGAACCCTGGAAACGGGGTCCAAATGAGAAGGTCACAGAGTTGGCTTTGACTGTGTGAATGGGTTCAGTATGAGGTTTGGTGTTTCTGGGCTGAGATGTTGGGGATGTTGGTGATGAGCTGACCTGACAGTGTTGATCGCAGCGGTCTCCTCTCCAGCCCGGGGTACAGGAGCACCTCCCGTCCAGAGCGCTGCAGGCGCCTCCGTTCCCACACACACATGTCAGGTTACAGCCCAGACCCCACCAGCCGCTGGGGCAGTTAATGGAGCAGTCCACCCCGTGCCACCCTGACACCAAACACAAAACACCTTCATTTGTCTTCTGAGGAACTCATTTCTCACGGGTTTGGAACGACATGAGGGTGAGAGAATGATGACAGAATTTTCATTTTGGAGTGATCGATGCTTTTAAAGGGGTCCTGACAAGAGAAATCAAATTTGCCTTGTTCTTTTGCCATATAAGAGGTCTTTGTAGCTTTAAATCATCCTGCAAGTTTCATAGCTTAAAACCTCCTCCTCATGATATACAAAGCATTTATTTAATCAAGCTCAGAAACAGCTCGTTTGGATCTGAGGGGCAAGATGACATCACGGGGGAACAAACATTTGTATAAACACGCCTCCAGAGCAGGATATCGACGAATAGTCTTCTTCTCTCAGCATAGGCCCCGCCCACATAGGCCCCTCATCCACTAACGGCTGACACTTGATCATGCTGAATGAGAGAGTCGTGTAGCGTCAAGGGCAAATAGAAATCACAATCACTGTACTATCTTGTCTACACTGGATACAGTAAAACAGATGCGGTTCACTTTCTGACACGGTCCACGCTCGAGTCTGTCGTCAGGACAAATGCAGTGAAAGAACATTCACTTGGCTTAAACATCTCGGTCGCGACTTTGTATAGATATCAGAAGGATCCCAGCGTAAGGAACAAGTGGATAGTTTATTTTAATGGCGTCCCGGATCGTGTCTGAGGATTGATCGGAGCATTTTGTTTTGTAAACGAGGCACAGTGTCATGTAGAGTCACAAAGAAACATTTGTTGAAAGATGAAGCACTGCTGGATCTGACTGCAGCTGCATCACAAACCATAAGTACATGATTTCATAATGCTTTGTCTGGAAATGACTGTTTTATTTTGATCATGTTGTCAGAACACTTATGAGGGGGCGTTGATAGTGCTCCCTATGTAGTGACATTAGCCAATCATAACAGCGGCTGACTATTGACGAGCCTTAAAGGACATGCCCCTTTAGACTGCATGAGGGTTGAAAATAATCTTTCGACATATTTTTTTTTTTTTGTGCAAACAACTTTATTAAAACTATAAGTAAACCTCAAGGAACATATTAAAATAATAACAAAAGTCGATATCATGAGCCCTTTAACAGAGCGGGGTCTGAGGTGAATTACCTGCTTGACAGGAGCAGGATCCGTCAATGGGTGAGCAAGCAGCTGCGTTCTTACAGGAGCACACTGAGCTGCAGTTGATGCCGTAGCTGCCAGAGGGACAGGGAGCGGAGCAATCTGAGCCCTGCGGTCACGTCACACGTTAGTGTTTGAATCCAGCACACACACACACACACACACACACACAGAGAGAGAGACACACACACAGAGAGACACACAGACACACACGCACACACAGACAGAGAGACACACACAGACACACACACACACACACACGCACAGAGACACACACAAAGAGAGAGACACACAGAGACACACACACACAGAGTGTCTTTATGAAGCTGTACCTTGAATCCGGGCGCACAGACACACTCCCCGCTCACGCTGTGGCAGTCGGCTCCGTTCTGACAGCGGCAGATCTGCTGACATGCCTCGCCATATAAACCAGGAGCACACGTCTCGTTACAGTACAAACCCGACCAGCCCGGGCCGCACAAACACTCGCCCGACATGGGGTGACAGCTGAGAGAGACACACAGCCATTAACTGCAGCTGCTGCTGTCACTAAACACAGCCCCACACTGCAGCATCTCCATATCTGACATTAAACCATTTAGTCAAGCACCTCCTGAAGATCGCAACATATCATCATTGCTGTTAATAGTGTTCACCGTCTGTTTGATTACACGTCATTAACTGCTTGATTTTTACTGTACATTTCTGCCATATGGACATCAACTTGAGATAGTCACCACTGATAAGCTATTACTAATATAATGTAGAAACTTTCATTTTCTGTGAAGCTGCTTTGCAACTATTTGCATCGTGAAAAGCGCTATATAAATAAACTTGAATTGAATTGAATTTCATATTTCAGTCATTTACAATTTCAACGGCTTGCACACAAAATCTTTACTTGTAACACAATTTCTGAAAGCTGACACTCAAACAGCAGAAGCACACACCAAATCTGCAAAACCATACACTAATTCTCAGCCTTTGACTCCGTTTTCAATTTCATAAAACACTTTTATCAGACACAACACACAATTCTCTATGTAACTCACAAAAATCTAACAGGAATTAATATTATTTGCAAAGGTGTTTGCAAATGTTTGCTTTTGAGATGTGTATGTGATATTTTGAATGCAGTGCTTCGTTTTGCAAGAGATGTGAGGCATTTTGCATTTTGTGTGTGCAATTCTTGGATTTGTGTGTAAAGTTTTGAAAAAAAGAGGCAAAGGCAGAGAATGTGTATGGTTTTGCAGATCTGGTGTGTGCTTCTGCTGTTTGAGTGTCAGCTTTCAGCAATTGTGTGACAAGTAAAGATTTTGTGTGTAAGCAGTTGAAAAAAACTGTAATGGTTATATGACATGCAGGTAAACAAAAAACAATATTTTTACTAAGTTTAAAATGTTTGTCTTTATTTTAAAATGATTTATTTACAGTATAAGGCTGTGATTTGGCCATACATTTTATTTTGATTATTAAACTGCTGCCAGTTCATTTCTACAGTAGTTGTTTTATAAATGTGTTCACATGGGTTCAGTCTTCACAAGAATCAAATATTCACACATTCACACATCTTATGAGAATTGAGATGTACTGTGTTCTTGCTTAACTGACCGCATAGTCACAGCATAAGCAGTGGCCAATGAACCATAAATATAACATAACATTACAAACAAATGTCATAACTTATAAAACATTTCATACTATTATAGATATTATTTACATATAATTGTATGTTTTATTTTACAGTTTTATATGTTTAACTATGACTGTTAAAATTCATTTTAATATGCACTTATATATTGTTGCTCTTTTGTTAGTTTTGACTGCTTTTATTGTCCTCATTTGTAAGTCGCTTTGGATAAAAGCGTCTGCTAAATATACTAAATGTAAAATGTAAATGTAAATATGCCAATAAAAATACTGCAGACTTTCTCCGGGTCTAATAACTTCATTAAAATGAAGCAAAACAAAACAATAAATGTTTACTTTCAAGAGCCATCAAGTATTTGTGAGAGCGAGTTTAAAGCTTGCAGGCTTCTGTACACCGGCCGCCCGCAGCGTCTTCTGGGATTTCTAATGGTTCAATTCTCTCAAGTCTGCACTCGATGCATCCTCGATATCAAGAACACATCCGGGAACCTCTGTACTTGCGTACTTGAGAATTGAACTTCGATGGTTAATGATGACGTAGAGCGAGAACACAAGGACGCAAGATCGCTGAAGAACGCATATAGAGAAATGGCCTTTGTCTAGTCATTGTTGGTCTAATTGTGCTCACCTGTTCCTTGTGTGCTTTCCTCCCTATTTATAGTTCCCCATGCCCTCGTCTTTGCCGGTTTGTAGTCATTTTCACCCTCACTGTCTCTGTCTGTGGAAGTGGCTGAGTATTTGTTCTTTTTCCCTTGCCTTATTTGTGTCGTGCCCTAGTCTTGTCAAGTCCCTTGTAATTCTATGTTTTAGACTTGCTCCTTGTTTTTTGGATTTAGTTTTTTGCTTTCATCTTTGTATTCATCTAGTTCATCTAGTCCTGATCTTTTGTTTGCAGTTTTGGTTGATATTTTTAAGTTACTTGTGTTGGTCAATTAGTAATTAATTCCCTTTTATCTTTTCATTTGTAATACTTTGCTTTTTATCAGTTCTTTAGGTTTGTCTATCCCCTTGCCTGTCTTTTTTTTTTCACATCAAATTTGTGTCCCTGTGGAGCCTTGTCCTGTCTTGTTATGTTGTTCTGTTAGAGTTCCTGCCCTCTGGTTCCTTCTGCCTGGCACCTGGACTACTTCAGAGTCTGCGGACATCAAATATCTGAACTCAGCTTTATGGTGTCTTGCTTTGGTCTTTCCCATCTGCCTGGTCTTGCCGCTCTCTCTGCAGCTCATGTGCCAGTAGATCTCTGATGTTGTTTCAGCAGTCTTCCCTAACTGCCTCATCTCTGTCCCTGCTGTTGATTCACCTACGCACCTCACTAACCCTTTGTATCTGTCTGTTTTGTAAATAAACCCTTGTCACTCACTCTGCATTTGGGTCTTCCTTCCAGATCCCTGACATTACGAACTGGCCAAGCCAAGACCCAGCAGATGAGCTTTACTACTCTTCCAGTTTTTTGTTTCAGTCAAGTCAGCTCTGGTCTTCATTAATCCTGTCATGTCTGTTCTAGATTCCTTTGAGCGGACTGAGGCCACTTCAGCCATTCCTGAACCAATCAAGCCAGTTTCAAACACTTGTCGACTAGGTCGACTAGGATTGCTGTGGTCAATCCTGGATCAGTCGAACCAGTTCCAGACACTTCAGAGTTTACAGAGATTTCTGCAGTTATCCCTGATCTAGTCAAGTCAGTTCCAGATACTCCTGGGCTGTGGCTAATCCTGAACCAGTCAAACCAGGTTTAGACACCCCTGAGTCGACCGAGACTGCTGAGGCTACTCTTGCCATAGTCAAGTCTGTTCCAGTTATTTCTGAGTCAACTGAGACCACTGCAGCAGTCTCAGTGTCAGTCAACCCAGTTTCAGACACTCTGGAGTCTACCAGGACCGCTGTAGCCATCCTTGTCTCAGTCAAGTCATTCCAATCATTACGGCGATGACCAGTCTGCTGTGGCATTCCTTGTGTCAGATAAACCAGTTCCAGTCACCTCTGAGTCAGCCAAGACCGCTGTGGACATCCTTATGGCAGTCAAGCCATTTCCAGTCATACCTGTGTCGACCCAGACCATTGCAGACACCTCTGTGTCTTTCAAGTCAGCTTTACTTAACCCTGTGTTGGCTTTTCAAAATTATGTCACCCCCTAAGATGTGGAGAAGGAGGGGATATGCATCTCAAGTTATTGGTCTTCCTTCTGTAGTCTCAACCTCTGGGTCCAGGAGGACCTGAGTCAAGAGGCCTCAAGCACTGGGAGTCCAGAGGTGTCTAGTTCAGTGGCCTTGGTTTCAGAGCCTCTAGTTACAGTTACAAAGCATTGTCTTGAGCCACCCGGTCTATTTAATTTATCTATAGAACTTATTCTAGAGAATGTTCCAGCTTGTCATGTCACACCTACAGAAGTTGTTCCTGCCAGCCATACCCATTGAAATTACTCCTGTCATGTCATTTCCACTGAAGATGTTCCTGTTATTTGTGTCAAGTCCATACAGATGGTTCTTGCCTGTTATGTCAAATACACAGAAGCGGTTCCTGCCAGTCATGTCACATGTTCATTGAGACTATTCCTGTCTGTCGAGTCACGCCTTCAGAGGTTGTTCCTACCTGTCATGTCTGGGCCATACAAAGTGTTCCTGCCTGTCCTGTCACACCTACAAAGGTCGTTCCCGCCAGTTGGGTCATGGCCAAAGATGGTGTTCCTGCTTGTCAAGTTATGGCCATATAAAATGTTCCTGTCTGTCCTGTTATGCCCTTGGAGGTCGTCCCTGCAAGTTGGGTCATGGCCATGGAGATTGTTCCTCTTTATCTTGTCAAGCCGACAGAGGTTGTTCCTGCTAGTCAAGATGTGTCCACGGAGATCATACCAGACCAGCTCTCGGCTGTTTCTGACGAGTCCCTCGGAGGATGTTCCTACTAGTTGTGTTCTACCCGATGAAGTTGTTCCTGTCAGTTTTGTCTTATTCTTAAAGATTGATCCTGCTTGTCTTGCTAAGCCCACAGAGATTGTTCCCGCTAGTCAAGTTGCACTTGCTGAGATCATACCAGACCAGCTTCCTGCTTTTTCTGATGAGTTCCTCAGAGTATGCTCCTGCTAGTTACATTCCACTTGTGGAGGCTGTCGCAGAGCATCCTGCTCTCCCAGTAATGGCCTCTGAAGATGTTCCTGTTCAGTCTGCTCCAGCCTGTGAGTCACTAGAGTTCGCTCCAGCCCTAGGGCTGCCTGCTTATGACTCTGACTTAATTGGCTCTCCCCCTGCTTCCTGCACTATCTGGCCCACAACCATGGTCTGGTTTGTTGGGATTGGACGCCAGGAGGCGTCTGCTGGGAGGGGGGTAGTGTCAGGGTTCTGCCCTGTCTGGTCTTTTTGTTTTTCATGTCTATGTCTTGTGTTTCAATACACATGCTTTTGTTTTTGACTGCCATGTGCCCTTCTAGTTCCTCCTCCTTGTTTCCCCTTTACCACACCCTCTTGTTAGCCCTTGTCTAGTCCTTGTTGGTCTAATTGTGCTCACCTGTTCCTCGTGTGCTTTCCTCCCTATTTATAGTTCCCCCATGCCCTCTTGTCTTTGCCGGTTTGTAGTCATTTTCACGCCCACTGTCTCTGTCTGTGGAAGTGGCTGAGTATTTGTTCCTTTTCCCTTGCCTTATTTGTGTCGTGCCCTAGTCTTTTCAAGTCCCTCGTAATTCTATGTTTTAGTCTTGCTCCTTGTTTTTTGGATTTTGTTTTTTGCTTTCATCTTAATATTCATCTAGTTCGTCTAGTCCTGATCTTTTGTTTGCAGTTTTGGTCAATTAGTAATTCCCTTTTATCTTTTTATTTAGTTACTTTACTTTTTATCAATTCTTTAGGTTTGTCTATCCCCTTGCCTGTTTTAGAGTTAATTTGTGTCCCTGTGGAGCCTTGTCCTGTCTTGTTTTGTTGTTCTGTTAGAGTTCCT